GAGAGAGAGAGAGAGAGAGAGAGAGAGAGAGAGAGAGAGAGAGAGACAGGGTTTCTCTATGTAGCTTTGGAGCCTGCCTTGGAACTTGCTCTGTAGACCAGGCTAGCCTCAAACTCACAGAGATCTACCTGCCTCTGCCTCCCCAGTGCTGGGATTAAAGGTGTGCTCCACCACTGCCCAGCTGAACACAGAGTTAGTTTCTTATGGCAGGTTACAACTTAGAATTGCCTTGAAACATTTAAAGGCAAAGACAAGTATACAACTGCCCTCTGTTGGGGTGGAGTGGAGAATAACTATTGCTGCTTTTGCTATGGAAACAGCCGAACTTGGAAAGAGGTAGGAGCAAGACAGCTGGTTAAAGTATCTGTGAAGTCAGAGGCTGTCCACACCATCTGTCTCCTAGCACTGGTAGACCGCTAAAATATCTGAAAGATCAGAAACTCTGTCCGTGGAGCACACTTGCTTATGCTACATAGATGCCTCTTAAACAAAAAACAAGCCAAAACAAACAAACAAAACTTGTAAAATTGTGAAGAATAGCTTGGTCGGTGACTGTTGAGCATAGGAAACCATCTTCATTTCTAGAACTTTTGGAAACAAAATAGCTATTTATGTGACATTCTCATCTAATTCTTTGCCTCAGCCATGCTGCCTTTCTTCTGAAGCACTGGTGGTTAGAGAAAGCAGATAATTCATTGACTGCATCCTGTGGGGTTGCTCATGAGGGAACTGTCACAGTCACCCAGTGCTGCCTATTGCCTGGCTTCATTCTGCTGACTTGCACAACATGATTACATCCCTGCCATGAACTCTCCAGAGTTTGCATTAAGGTTCTGATCTGTGACGGATGAGTCCCTGCAAACAGAGTCTGGATTCTACTCTTGTGTCACTCGTTAACTAAGAAACCAGTTCAGAGATGTTGAATTAATCATCCACCTCCGAACCTATTTATCTGGAAAGTGATCTTTATTGCATAAAATTCTGTTATTTTAAGATACATTTTATGGGGCTGGAGAGATGGCTCAGAAGTTAAGAGTGCAGACTGTTCTTCCAGAGGTCCTGAGTTCAATTCCCAGCAACTACATGGTGGCTCACAACCATCTGTAATGATATGTGGTGCCCTCTTCTGACCTGGCAGGCATGTATGCAGGCAAAATACTGTATAAATAATAATAAATAAATAATAAATAAATTTTATACAGCTAGTACTCAGTTTTTGACTTACGTACTGTTTTATAGGCATATTGTCTAATTTTCAGAAATTTAAGCAGTTGCTTTCAATAGAATCCAATCAAAGGTATAATCTAAATTTAGGTTATGATATGATGTTCAGTTTCATGAAGTTTAGATTTTGTTCTTAAAAAGAAAAGAAATTGACTTTTAAGATATTATCTCACAGAGGGAAGGAGCTCATGAGGCCCCACCCATAGCTAAGAAGCTATTGGCGGTTGATAACACCTAGGGGAGAGAAAAATCAGATTTCTTTTGCAGTGTGGCCTACTGTAGGTTGCCCATGCTCCAGTGGTTGGTTCCGTACATTCATGCGCATGTGGCAGCACTATTGAACTCAGTATGTTATGAGGGGAGGAGGAGTAGACATGAAGTTGGGATGGTGATATGGAATAGAGAGTCCTGGAGGAGCTAGAGGTAGGGAGCAGTATGATCTAAATATAAAGTTACTTATCCAGCTATAAGCCTGAGCTCCTTAAGGGAGACTTATTCATTGGTGTGTTTATTTGAGACAGAACTTCTGGATTCAATAACATTCCTGCCTCTCACTTCTTAAAAGCTGTAACTACAGGTGTATCCTGCTGCACCAGCTAAGGGAGCTCTTGGCTTTGATCTGTGTTCTTAGTGTCTAACACTGCTTTCAAGAATGTTGAAGATGTTAAAGTCTAACAAAAGCGAAGCACGAGGCCCTTTCAGAAATCAAGTGCCTAGTTAATGAGTATTTGTTAAACCTGGTTTTGTGGATAAAATATGAGTTTTATGGCCAGATAGAATTTGCTCCTCAGTTCTTGATGTCACCTACTTTTAAGCCTAATTACAAGCTGACAATTTGTATTTTGTTCTTTGTGTATTTTAGCAACATGGCCAATGCCTTGGCCAGTGCCACGTGTGAGCGCTGCAAGGGAGGCTTTGCGCCTGCTGAGAAGATCGTGAACAGTAATGGTGAGCTGTACCATGAACAGTGCTTCGTGTGTGCCCAGTGCTTCCAGCAGTTCCCAGAAGGACTCTTCTATGAGGTAGGTCAGCTGAGCTGTCTTTCACCTTCATGTTCATTACCAAAGAATGAATTGAAGGGCCAGGTATTTAGTACCTGGGAAGTCAATGATGAAATGCATGTGGAACATGTAGGTCACAACCTAAATAAGATGCCTATGTATACCTACCTACATTCATCCCCATCAGTTCATCTTATTCCAGAAGCTACAGACTCTTGTGACTGCCTATCAGACTAAGTACTTCTTTCTGTTCCAAGTACAGAATCCGTTCACAAGGCCTGCAGCAGAAGCATCTCTGGCCTCCCTCAGTGCCTCCCCGTACCTGAACTCTTCCCATCCCTATCCCAGTGTCTTCCTTTATCTGGATATCATGGACGCCCTCTTGAAGAGGAACTGTGTCACCTACTTCCTCATTCCCAAGCCACACTCTAGAGATTTCCATGCATGTAGTTTCTATAAAGGATCTTATGTGAAATTGAACATTGCAGGAAACACACTGTGTTTAGCCCTTCTGTGTGCCTTGAGTTATTTCTAAACACTTGTTTTTCTTGATGTCATTAAATGATCTGTACTTCCACCATTATTGGAAACCCTTTTATCACAGTAAACGAGTACTGTGGATACCCAGGGAAGCTCACCACCCACATCAGGAGGGAAAATGAGAGCGACAACCTTGACAATTTATTTTTGCTACCACACCACTTAACATATCTGCAAATATGTGTTCTTTATATGACAATATATATGTATTGAATGATGAGATAGATAAAATGTCTATTTTATTTCTTTTTTAATTATTTTATTTTATGTGTATGTGTATTTTGCCTGCATGTGTGTCTATGCACTGTGTGCATGCCTGGTGTGTTTGGAAGCCAGAAGAGGTTATGAGATTCACTGGCCCTGGATATAAAGAAGGTGTGTGCTGCTATGTGGTTATAGGAATTGAACTCAGATCATCTGGAAGAGCAATCAGCACTCTTAACTATTTAGCCATCGCTTCAACCCCTTTCATTTTTTCCCCCCACTTTTCGCCTACCAGACTTAGATTCTCCTGTGTCCGTGCTTGAGGAAGGAAAGGTAATTTGTAATGCTCAATACTAAACTTATTAATACCACTGAGATATTTTTCCCACTACTGGAGAATGAAATTCCCAGACCAACGTGGAAAACATCATTTGTCTCTCAGAGATTCTTAATAAAACAAACTTCCATTTGTGAATTGTCTGTATTAATGTAACTCGAGGAAATAGCATTGAACATATAGACACAGAATGAAATTTATACGTCTCAGGAAACAAACAAACAAACAAACCTTAGCAGTAGGGTGATACGCTTTTTTCTTTCTCTTGAAATCTTTTTGTCAGGAATGATGCCCTAGGAAATGTGAAGTGACAATTATGGAAGAACAGGAGCGGGAGAGGTCAGAGTCCAACTGCAGGAGAAGAAAAGACAGAGGGAGTTCCCAGGGTACATAGATGGTGATGGTGGCCAGACACTACTGAGTCTGAATGGCTATGATTGGTACAGAGAAGTACAAGTTAGGTCTCTGGAGGCTGTAACAGCATGGGAGGGAGAGCTGCTGATAGAACTGCTGTCATTCAATTTAGAGAACTCTTCTTAGAAGTTGACAAAAGGCTCTGAAATCGCAAACTCAGCCAGATAATGCTGTTTTCATTTTAAGATCTTTATGATGAATTAGGTACGAGATAAAATAAATATAACATTTTATTACTCACACTTAGATGTCAATACACAAAGGTTAGGAAAGTATAGGCAGGGATGGAGAGAAGGATCCATGAGCCAAAGCTTTATTGGTTATTAGCTTCCAAACAGGTCTCCCATGAAGAGTTTTCACTAGTAGGTTTCAAGCAAGTAGACACAAGTTTCAGGTGGCTGTACTGTGACATCTGGATCTGTACAGTCCATGCTGGGTATAGCAGTCAGCCTATCCTCTCAGGCTGTACCTAACTAACCACAAGGAAGAGGTTGTTAGGGAACAGTGATTTATGACAGACATCTGGATTGATCACACCGAGGATCTGGGAGGCATAGAACTAGAGACAGTTAGGATGACTAAACCCTGCCTCAGTTATAAGAAAGTATAGCTTCTATTCACAGTGGAAGCCAAAGCAACATGTCATCATAGACCCTCATGACAGAGTCCCACAGCATATACAGAGGTCCCAGAAATATGGGGGATGGCTTAGTCAGCATGACTAAGCATGAGGCAAGCATGAGGACCTGAGTCCAGATCTCTAGCCCTTATGTAAAAAACCTGGAAGAGTGGCACATGCCTTTAATTCCATAGCTATGGAGGTAGTCCCACCTGGGACTTGCTTCCTGGGCTCTAGCTGAGATCGGTGAGGTTAAGGTTGATGGAGCTCCTGTCTCCAAAAGATAAGATGAGCAGCAACTGAAGAAGATACTAAACATCAATCTCTGGCCTCTACATAATCATACACACATATGTGTATAGCTGCACACATAAATGCACACAGACAAAGGAACATGTCTAGATGCATACACACCAAAAACCAAAAAAAGAGGGAGCACTGATGTTCATATTGTATAAGTCTCCTTTAATCCCTACCTCTCTTTTCTTTTGTGGCTGTGAGGTGAAAACATGAGAACACAGCAGGCAGCGGTGTGTGGTGTGACAGGTGTCATTTAGGAAAGGTCAGTTCTGTTCTGCCCAGCACTTGGTCTCCTGCCTGATCTGCCCTCAGAGAGCATCATGACACCAGTCCCTCTTCTTGCCTTTCTCTAGTACTGTCCTTTTGCCTGCCGTTTCAGCATTATCTGGCGCTATCTTGCTTAGCCCACAGTAACTCCTCCTAAGCACCTGCTTCTACATGTGGTCCTATCACTTGCAAAGCTGCTTATGTTTGGCCAGAGGGAAAGCTTGGAAACAGCCTTCAGCAGAGTAGAATAAAATATGACTCACACTTGTCCTCCAGTCCACTCCTTGCTTCTCTTCACTGCTGGACTATAAATAGCCCCCTACTATTATTCCAAAAGATGTTACAAATCCCATAGTTGGGCTATTAATGGGCTGTTGCCCTATGGGTCCTATTTTAACTACAGTGCTTACTTCTTCAGGGCCTTTTTCTTGCCAGGGATTGTAAGCCTGAAGGTTGAAAATAAGAACTTTACTTTTGGTTAAATGGCATATTAGAGAAAAAACTATCCCCGTCTAAGAACGTTATACCATGTTTGTATAATGAAGCATGCAGGGCAGGACATATGGATTGGTGATAAGAGTGCGTGCTTGCTTAGCTTTCAGGAAGCCTAGGTTCAGTCTCCAGCACTTCAGAAGACAAACAGTCAGGAAAACGTATCTTCTCCAGTCCATTCCTTTGCTATGACTTTTTTTTTTAAGGTTTATTTATTATTTATACAGTGTTCAGCCTGCATGTACACTGCAGGCCAGAAGAGGGCACTAGATCTCATTACAGATGGTTGTGAGCCACCATGTGGTTGCTGGGAATTGAACTCAGGACCTTTGGAAGGACAGCCAGTGCTCTTAACCTCTGAGCCATCTTTCTAGACCATTGCAATGGCTTTTATCTTTTCCCAGAGCATCCTCCTCCCCTTATTTCCACAGCCCTTACCCTTTCTTTTCCCTTGGGCATAAGCTAAAAAGACATGTAGATTCCATCATTTGAGTGGCTGAGGCAGGAGATTTGTGAGCTCAAGACAAGCCAAGCCTGCTCTGCTTAATAAGACCCTGTCTCAAAAAAAAAAGAAAAAAAAAACAAATGTTATTTACTTCAAAACATGATTCCCTTTTCTTTATAGAACTTCTTGATGCTTTGGGTTAGATGGCTAGGATAGTCATCCCTCTAGGCACAAAGACAAGTCTGGAAGCAGACCCTTGTTCACTAGACACAAGCATTCCCGGTGCATTTGCACTTCTCTTAAGCATAGTATAGCTTGATATGAATGCATATGCTTGTAATCCGAACACTTTGGAGAGGCAGGAGGATCAGGATTTCCCAAAACCCACATGATGGCTCACGGCCATCCGTAGCTCCAGTGCCATGGGATTTATTCCCTGTTTTGACCATTTTCAGCACCAGGTATACATGTGGTGAACAGACGTACATGCAGGCAAAACACCTGTAACAGAAAAAGAAATGAACATTTTTATTTTATTTTATTTTATTTCAATACAGGTTTTCTCTGTGTAACAACCCTTACTGCCCTGGAACTCACTCTGTAGACCAGGCTGGCCTCAAACTCACAGAGATCCACCTGCTTCTGCCTCCCAAGTGCTGGGATTAAAGGTGTGCATCACCACTGCTCGACATAAATAAACATTAAGTCTAAAACTTTTGTCTCAAAAGTTAAAGAGAATAACAAAATAGCGACATAGAAACTACTAGGATTACTACCCAGATGTGGTCCCTACTCACACAGTGACCCTTTCTCCTACAAGATGTGGTTTAAAACATGGGCCTAAATTTCTCCATTAGGCATCAATCTATCCCCTATGAAAAATAAGATGCTTTGCAGCTTTAAAAAGCTTAAAAAGGAACTGATTTACCCAAGATGTTTGCCCAGGAGATTTATTATAAGACACCACTACTAATGTTACCAGCTAGTGCCCTCTGTTTCATTCCACATCTTTTTTGAGTCCATAGAGCACTTTATCCATCTTTAACATGGAGCACTGTTACATTTTATTCTGGCTCTTTATTACTATACTCGTCTTCCCATTTAACTTTGAATACCTCTGGCACAAACTGTTCATATTGATCTGATATCTCTGACATATGACTGTAATCCCAGCAGTTGGGAAAAGGAAAGATGGATCAGGAGCTCAAAGCCATCCTTGACTACACAACAAGTGGAGACCCTGCCTCGAAAAGAAAAAAGAGTCAGTGCTGTTTTCCATGAGGTTTCAATATGTGCAGCTGTCTTCTAATGCGTGTGAACCATTATCTCATACATCTGCCAGCTCAGTAGTGGCTTAGACTAATCACCAGCAATTAATGGTTCTGAAGTATAGCTTTGTGATACCTTGATTATCTCCACTAAAAAGAGTATATTTTTTTTCCTTGAAATTTTTAGGAGCGAACTAAAGCTAACAGTTTCAGATGGATCAATTCCAGAAATCTTTCAAACTGGCATAGACTGAACCAAGAACCAGGGCCTAGGCCTTGTATGCCACAAAACCAGCCAGTATGCCCAGGGCTAAGTTCTCTGTGTAATGATTCAGACTTTCTCTGTCCTTGTTTGGTTTTCCCAGTGTGTACCTTTCTCCCCCTCGCAGAAGTATTAACAGGAAAGACCTGTTGGTAATGAATGCTGTAATGGAACAATGATTAACAAAGAGTTTCCTCACTCATTTCCTCTAATACTGTATCCTGATTATTCAGGAAGACTGGGACCGAGAAGTGAAGACTGAAGGCAGGAAACTCCAAAGCCAGCCTCTCTGCTTATCTACTGACCCACTTGTTTCAGAGCAATTCATGACCAGTGTGTAAATCACTAGGTGAATGTCCAGCATCTGCACATTCCTGAAATATGGCCATCAGCTCAGTTTCCAGTTAAGCAGCAGCCCCTCCCCCGCCTCTCGGATAGGAATCTTCACAGAACTCCAAACCCTGCAACAGAAGAAGCAGAACTGTTGCTGCTGGAGCTCATCTTCTCCCACCGAATAGTCTCTGTCCCTGTGGGTAGAAGGGCCGAGAGTTCTTAGGCATTCGCTTAAACAGCTCTTTGTGGAACATGGTGTTTCTTGCAGGCTTATTGTATTTCTGGTGGTGTCAATGAGAAACATCCCCTGTGCCTCCTTTCTTGGAACATTTGGTTCCCTGCTTGTGGTGCTGTTTGGAGAGGTTGTGGAGCCTTGTGGAGGAAATACGTTACATAGAGTGGGCTTGGAGGGTTTGCCACCTCACCCCACTTCCTGCTCTCTCCCTCCGTTTCCTTTATGTGAATAAAAATGTGATCAGCCAGCTTCCTGCTCCTGCCACTAGGCCACGCCTTCCCTGCTGTAAGGAACCCTGTCCTTCTGGAACACAAAGCAAACTAACCAGCCCTTTCTTCCTTAATTGCCTTGGTCAGTTTCATCACAGCAAGAGAAAAAAAGAATGCAGTCAGTGTCTTCCATGTTTTACTGGGGGTTTATTGTAGCTATCTAAAAGATAGTGTTTTTGGAAATTTGATTTTTCAAAATGATAGCTTCTGATTTTTCTTCTATTTATATCCTAGACTTTTACTTTAGATCAACTTCTGGATTCCCAGGCTCTTAATTGAGACATGTTATGCTTCATGGTCTCTACAGCATATGAAAGAGACAGTTTATTACAGCAGAATGCTCTTAGAACAGGAGTGGTAGTACCACAGAGAGACACAGGATCTGAGATTGCAAAGGAATCTGCTCCTTAATTCTTGGGCTGTTTCCTGAGGAGTTTTTTTGACTTGTGTCTTGTTTTGTTTGGTTGGTGTTTTGGTGTTGTTATGGGTTTGTTTGGTTTTTTGCTTGCTTTTTAGAGGGGAGTTGTGGAGTGGTTTTTGTTTGTTTTGTTTGGTTTTGAGATGGGAGTCTCACTGTGGCATAGCTCTACCTGGCCTCAGAGATCTGCCTTCCTCTTCTGAATCCTTTCTGATTGACTGGTAATATATTTGTATACACAGTAGTACCTGCTTCTCCCACGTTATAAAAGAATCTCAATTCCTATTATAATAACTTGCTCTAGGACACCTCTCACTTGGAATCTTTTAGCCTTTAAAGCCTCCCAGCTTTGTCTGCTCTGTGTTTTCTCATTTAGGATGAAGCTTGACTTGGGGAACTATGTTGGGTGGGTGTTCTGTATTCTGGTATGTTGTGAGTTTATAATTGCAGAGTAGTCATGACATCATTCCTTTTAAGGTTTTCCCTTGTGCACCCCTGATGAATGTCAAAGGCATCCTCTAAAAAAAAAAAAAAGTTCCTGTGAATGACCTGAAAAGATGGCTTTATGGACAAAGTACTTGCTTTGCAAGCCTCGATGAGCTAATTCAGATCCTCAGAACACACTTAAAAGCCAGATTTTGGTATGCCTTGAACATTCTAGCCCAACATGGTGGCAACAGGGAACCATCTGCAGCTGGGAGATGTCTGACATCTCCTCGGGCCTGGCACACCCTGTTCACTTATAAGGTCTGCACCAAGTACTGAGCTGTAGTAGTCCTTGTAGGCAAGGGAGACAAGCTGGTGACCCATGAGAAGTACACACCCATGTTACATCACCCAGTGGAAAGGGCCAACTGTCACTGCACACAGGTAACCTGGATGGGGAAGACTGTGCTGCAGTTCAAACAGTGGAGGACTTTTTTTCTTCACAAGTTCTTGCTGGGCACCTTTCCAGTTTACTGGCTGACTAGATTGTCCTGAAGTGCCAGGCCAACCAAGTGGAGATCTGTGCCCTGTTCCTGACGCAGCTCTCAGCACACAAATTCTAAATATTTGTGGGTTACAATGAGATTCTGCTGTCACGCTCTTATAAGTGCCCTATGTAACTCTGCCTCCAAACTATGCCCTAGTTTGTGTGCAAGTCAACATAAGTGGATGTTCTTGCTTACTTCAAACTGTATTCTACAAAGGACCAAAATGTAGGAGAAGTGAAATAGAATGAGAAGAAAGCCTTCCCTCAGAGGATGAGCACAACTCCAGGCTGCTGTTGAGTAAAGAACCTGGTGTTGCCTTTTAAAAAAAAAAAAAGCCAGATGCAGTAGTGCGTTGGAGGAGGCCACTTAGCCCTGAAATAATCACACAGAAACTGTATTATTTAAATCACTACTTGGCCCATTAGCTCTAACTTCATGTTGGCTTACTCTTACATATTAATTTAACCCATCTTCATTAATCTGTGTATCGCCATGTGACAGTGGCTTACCGGCAGAGTTTCAGCATGTTTGACTTGGCAGCGGCTCCAGGTGTCTCTCTTACTGCGCCCTTCTTTCTCCCAGCATACAGCCTAGCTTTCCCTACCTACTTCTGTTCTTCCCTGCCATAGGCTCAAAGCAGTTCTTTATTCATTAACCAATAAAAGAAACACACAGACAGAGGACCTCCCATACCAGTAGTCCACAGCTATGGGAGAGCGACAAGAGAATTCTTGAGAACTTTGAACAGTAAGGTGGGGAACAAGGACTGATAACCAAGTTCCTCCTCTATCTCTACTATCTGCTGGTAGATAGTACAGTTTGTACTTGGGTGCTGTGCCCCCTCAACACCACTCACCCACCCACCCAACACAGAGCACTGATGAGAAGTTCTGAGCACCCATGTGAGACAATTTACAACTGCCACACATGTACGCATACATGTATAATACATGCTTTCTCACACATATTTATTTTTTGAGCTATAAGCATGGTTATCTTTCCAAAATGTTGTAATTCAATAAACTAGTATTCAGTTCTTTGTAGTATGTTTCAAGTATCTTACGATCTCATTAAGAGTTTGATAGGATTCAGTGGTTAAGAGAATTTACTACTCTTAAAGAAGACCTGTACTTGGGTCCCAGGACCCATGTAACTTGGGCTTACAACTGCCTCTGACTCCGGTTCCAATGCCCTCTTCTGGCTTCTGCAGGCATCTGCTCACACAGGCTCTCATACATAAAAATAAAATTTTAAAATAAGCGAATGAATTTTTAAAAATAGTTTGAGTTACTCCCATAAAGATTAATAATGAGTTGTTTATCTAACTTAAAGAAGTTGTGACTGTAACAGTATGCTGTGAGCTTAAATAAACAGCAAAACAATAGAGGTTTGACTCCCAGGAGGCACCATGAGGACATACACACACTCACATTCACACCGTGGTTACTCGGCAAGCCAGTAAGGTTGTTATTAGCATTTGAACACCTTCAGTCTGGAACTGTATTCAGTGTTCTTAACTCATGTGATATCCTACTTCTCACAATTTATTTCTATAAAAATGGCATATATATATACATATATATGTGTGTATATATATATATATATATATATGAAAAATGTCTAACTAGGAAAAAGTTGTACCTTGAGTTCTAGTAAGCTATATTTGGCACGGGCCCATGAAAAATATTTGGAAGGAAAGGGCAACCATGTTCATCTCCACAATGCATGCTTTATAAGGAATATAATTATGTTTTTATTTGGGGCTGGGCATTGGTTTTGTTTTGTTGAGACAAGGTTTTCCTATGGCCTCAGACTCAAAAATCCTCCTGCCTCAAACATCTTGGATTACAGGTATGTAAACCACTATGCCTGGCTGTTTCGTTTTCAAATCTGCATTGGTCACTTAAAATATTGACATTAAGTCAGTCATGGTATTACGTGCCTTTAATCACAGCACTGGGGAGGCAGAGGCAGGTGGACCTTTGTCAAGGTCAATCTGGTCTACAAAGAGTTTAAGCCAGTCAGGACTACTTATTGACTTTGTCCCTGCAAAATAACTAAGGATCTAAAGAGATGGCTCAGTGGTTAAGAGCATCTGGAGGACCCAGGTTTGATTTCTACAACCCACATGATAGCTCACAATTGTCTGTAACTCCAGTTCCAGGGGATCTGATGCCCTCTTCTGCCTCCGTGGGCATCAGAAATGCAAGGGGGTACAGACATACATTCAGGTAAAACTCCACACACATAAATAAAAATAATTTTAAAAATTATGTTAGAATATGTTTACCTTGTAAATATTTAGGCTTACAGTGATAATTTTTAGATACTGACCTAAAATAATGAGGGGAATAAACCCCTTTTGTTTGTCTGTTCATGAAATAATTTCTTTCTGTACTTGTTTCATATGTGTAAGTTGATGGCCCTTGTATTTCTTCTTTCAGTTTGAAGGAAGGAAGTACTGTGAGCATGATTTCCAGATGCTCTTTGCTCCCTGCTGCCACCAGTGTGGTAAGTTTTACTGCTGAGTATAAATAAAAAAATAAGTCTCACAATCATAAAAGTCACTGTTTCAGTCTCTTAGGTTATGACAAAGCACTCTGACTCGAAAGAGCTGAAGGGAGGAAAGGGCTTATTTTATCGTCTACTCCCAGGCCACAGTCCATCACTGAGGGAAGTCAGGCAGGAACCTGAAGCAGAAGCCATGGAGGAACAGCTTCGGACTTCAGCTCGGCTGCTGTTCTGTATTTCACAGTTCAAGCAATGGTGCCAGTAATAATAAGCTGGGCCTTCCTAGATAATTAACAATCTGGACAGTTCCTACAGACAGAACCAGAGGCCAATCTGATCTGGGTAATCCTCAATTGGGATTCCAGTCTCACATTCCCTAGGATGTGTCAAGTTGACTGACAGTTAAAGCTAGCTAGGACGGTCATTTAATACTAGAAAGTACAACATTTTCTTTAAGATGGTGCTTATACATAACTATAAGAGATGCTTTATCTCTCTTCTCTGCATCGATGGTATACATCAAACTAGAGAAAGTCCAAAATCTAGAGAGAATTGGTTTCTATGGACCTGTGGGGAGAAGCCTGTAGTGAGCCTTCTGCAGTGCTTTCCCACTGCACATAGCCGACTTGCTTGCGGTCTGGCCAGAGAGGAGACGGAATATTTCAGTTGAGTTGATAAAGGTGCTATGTGTAATGGCATTTCATTTGCATTTTAATAAATAAAGCTTCCCTGAAGATCAGAGAGTAAAATAGACCCTCAGATCAGCCTTACTGATCAGACCATGGTAACACACACCTTTAATCCCAGTAGCCACACCAGTTTGCCATAGAAACTGTTTTTTAATCCCAGCCCTAGAGAAGAGGACACAGCTCTCAGACAGTCTCATTCTGAGATTCCTAGAGGCAGGATCGCCATTTTGGAGGATAAGAAGAGCCGGTGGCTGGCTGTTTTGCTTCTCTGATCTTCGGTTGAACCCCAGTTTCTCTCTCTGAGTTTTTATTAATTGTGCTTCACTTATGTACTTTACTTCCTTACTGTGGCCACCTCAGTGGTGGCTCAACTAGAACATTTCTAGGGATTGGAGACCCGGAATTCAATGTTTAAAATGCTTAGTGAAGGAAGTCGATGTGAATTATGAGGAAAATGTGGCAGGCTAGTCATGATCCCAGCACTCTGAAAACAGATTCAGGAGGATCTCTGGATTTGAGGCCAACCTGTTCTCCATAATTAGTTTCAGGCCAGTCAAGGGTACATAGTGAGACCCTGTCTGAAAAACACAACAGGAACAAAAACCAGAAAATGTGTTGTAGAGACTGAAGTTATAACATTCAGTGGTACAACATGCTCAGCGTTTGTAAGGCCCTTGGTTCAATCCTAGGACACCACTGTGGGATGTGAGAATTAAAGGAAACAGTGTATAGATTTCAATTGTCTGTTTCAACAATGACTGTAGACAACCAAGAGGCACTGGAGGAGCTCATGACTTTTGGAATTCAGAGATACGATTCAAAAAAAGAGTTTTAAATGTGACTACAAAATAGAAAATGAGGACTCAGATGAAAGAAAGATCATTTGTCTGCTCTCTTACTTCAATAGACACAGTGTAAAAGGCTTTCTCTTAAATTAGGCTGGTGGGCTGGAGAGATGGCTCAGAGATTAAGAGCAATGACTGCTCTTCCAGAGGTCCTGAGTTCAATTCCCAGCAACACACAGTGTCTCACAACCATCTGTAATGAGATCTGGTGCCCTCTTCTGGCCTGCAGGAATACATGCAGGCAGAATACTTTATACATAATAAATAAATAAATCTTTTTTTTTTTTTTAAATGAGGCTGGTAACAGAGACCTGTAATCTACATACATGGGAGGCTGAAGCAGGAGCATCTCAAGTTTAAGGGAAGCCCGAACAGCTCACTCGAGGCCCTGTGTTAGAAGGGAAGATTCAGAGTGCTGGAGATGTGATGTAACTCAGGCAAAGCAGTGGCTTCGCATTTAAGGAGTGCTAGTCAGTCCCCAGTCCCTAGTAAGCTCTCCTTAAACACTTGATCCTTTTATTTATAGCAAATAAGACCTCATGGCATTTTTTGTTCTTTACTTTCCCATAGGTGAATTCATCATTGGTCGGGTTATTAAAGCCATGAACAACAGCTGGCATCCTGAGTGCTTTCGATGTGACCTCTGCCAGGAGGTGCTGGCAGACATAGGGTTTGTCAAGAATGCTGGCAGGTAGGACTGTTATTGAGGTTTATTTTGGGGTTAAGCTCATTAAACCTCTCAGGGTCCAGAAAGATTCGCTATGGCAGCCAAAAACTGGCTAGGGAAAGGGATGTGAGGGGCAGAGCAAACTAACTGACTCGAGCACTTTCCTCCTGCATGTTTCTTTATTTCATGAGGGAAGGAAAGGGAAGAAGGAGTGAAGGGGGAAAAGAAGGGCCTTCTCCATAAGGCTTTCAGTTTATATAGGTGTACAGAGAAGTTAGCAATTACATAGGAGGTAACAATAGTATCAAACATGCATTTTCACAGTCACAAAAAAATAAAAACCAAAAACCAAACCAGGTCTCTAATGAAGTGCTTTACTTCTCAGAGCAGGCGTGGCTGCGAAGCTCCTCAGTGGCTGGGAACAGCATTGGTAGCCATCCTGACCTAGGGGCTTGGTTTGCATTAAAGGGAATCTCTTTGGGGGACTTTGCTTTTGACTCCAGGAGGGTGCCCAAGTGATATTTTTTTCTCTCTGAAGCTAGTTTTAGCAACTAAGGCCTTTTTCCTATATAAACAGTAGTTTCCTGGGCTATGATCATATGTTAACTGAAACCAAGGTGAAGGGAAAATACAGAATATTAGTAATTTGTTAAGTTAGAGCAAAGGGCCAGTAGATTCCACCTTTCTGAGTCTGCTGTTAGAGCAGACAGACTGCCTCCTGTTTGGGGCTCTGTTCTTATCAGTGAGTGCTGTCAATAAAGTAGAGACGAGTTTTATTAGACTTTGGCTATGACAACAAGGTTTGACTGAGTGAATGCTTTCACACCAGGGCTTTACTGTGTAGGGAAGGTGTCCGGTCGCCCTACAGGAAAAGTCAGGTTTACACACTGCTGGGGTACTATAGAAGGGAGAAATGCCATGATTTCACAAGATTTCTACAGAATTGGCAATGATTTATCCAAAAGACAGGTGTTCCCACAGCTCTACATAACAGGTTCATGTGGAGTGTTCATACTCCTATGGATTTGTCCAATAGATCTGTCAGCTGAACATTTACTAATACTTGTGCGCTCACCACAGACTTTGCCATCCTTGTTGGATGTGGGTGGACAAAGGAATTGTTCAAGACACATGCATTTTTCCCTACAGAGTCTGAGGTACTTCTAGGGTATGAGAACATGGAACTCACCATGCACTGACTTGCTTAGTATCCTGGGAAATGACCCCGGAGCTTAGTCACGGGATCTGTTACTGCATGCCTCCTGTTCTGCCAGTGAGATATGGGCAGTGATGAAGTCCGTGCACATCTGTGGGTTATTAGTGGAACAAACTTTTCCTGCACTTTGAATCTACTAAGACTCAAACTAGAAAACTAAGCACAGGAGATAGTTTTCTTTTTTAAAAAAATTTTATTAATATCTATTTAGAGATATGAGAAGTATATTTCTAATTTTTAAAAAGAACTTAAGATTTTAAATTTCCGTTTTGACCCTGTATAGACACCTGTGTCGTCCATGCCATAACCGTGAAAAGGCCAGAGGCCTTGGAAAATACATCTGCCAGAAATGCCATGCCATCATTGATGAACAACCTCTGATCTTCAAGAATGACCCTTACCATCCAGACCACTTCAACTGTGCCAACTGCGGGTATTACAGTATTTCCTCTGACATGGCAATATACAACCTTCTGTAACTTCAGTTCCAGGGACTCTAATGCTCTCTTCTGGTCTTGCAGGCACCAGGCACACATGTAGTGCATAGACATACATACAAAGTACCTATACACATAAAAATTTTAAGGCCCATGATGAATTACCAATATAATTTATCTTTTCTTATTATTTTTGTTTTTATAGCTTATTTCATCTGTGTCTATAACATATTCTAATGAAAATCACCCCATTCTGCTCTCTTATCCTGGTTGTTTTATAGTCCACTGAGTTTAATTAGGATTGCTTGCAAGTACATAGCTGTGGAATTATTTCCTGGATTATGGACACCCTGGAAGATAAATGATTCCCCTTTTGCCAGCAGCCATTAACTACCAAGAGCTTCTCAGCTGAGGGTGGGGCCTATTGTGCCCCTCACTCAATATAATTTATATTTTTATAATAATAAACACCTGTGTATCCCAGCCTGTCTCCAAGTTCACAGTCTTTTTTTCTCAACCTCCCATTTGGGATTACAAATGTGGACTACTGTTCCTGAACCCAGCACTGTGAGTTTTAAGGAAGACAAATGGACTAAAATGTAACATGTTACTATATTATACAGCAGTGATAAGCAGGACTGAAATGGCATGTGCCTGACCTCTTCAGTGTCTCATCATTAATTAAGACACTGGTAACAACCTGAAACCCAGGTTAATTCAGCTTTCTCAGATCACCATTAATGAGAAGATAGAAATTATTAAGGGATTGTTAGGATTATATATTTTAAAATCTTATTTAAAAAATTTCACTACCTCTGTTGGGTAACTGTTCAACTGTACAGTAGTATTCAATTATATGTCTTTGGTGGACAGGAAGGAGCTGACTGCTGATGCCCGGGAGCTGAAAGGAGAGCTGTACTGTCTGCCATGTCATGATAAGATGGGGGTACCTATCTGTGGCGCCTGTCGGAGGCCCATTGAAGGGCGAGTAGTGAATGCCATGGGCAAGCAATGGCATGTGGAGGTAAGTACAGCATGGCCAAAGGTAACCAGTACTTTGTTCTGTGCCTCAGGTACGCTTGCAAGATAAGACCAGTTTAAAGACTAAATATTGGCATTTTTAAAAAACAGTTGGTTTTTTGCCTTAATCTGTTTCTCTGTCACTGTGATTTAAAAACAAAAACTGCCCAAACCAAGTATGGTAGCGTACTCCTTTAATCCGAGCACTTGGGAGGCAGAACCAGGAGGATATCTGTGAGTTCCAGGCTAGGAAGTGAGTTCCAGCTCAATCAGGACTACAAAGAGAGACCCTATCTCAAAAACAACAAAACAAATAACAACAACTGACCAAAAGCAACTTGAGAGAAGAAAAGGTTTACTATGGATTACAGGTTATTGTTCTTGGCAAAGTGAAGCCAAGTCAGGAACTCAAGTCAGAAACCTGGGTGCAGAAACTGGAGCTGAGAGCAAGGAGAAATGCTGCTTCTTGGATTCCTTCCAGGCTCCTTGTCACCCAGCCGTCCTTCTTAGACAGCCCAGGCTCACTTGCCCAGGGGTGGCACCTCCCACAGTAAGTGTTCCCTCCCATGCCAATTAGCAAGCCTGAAGATACCCCACAGACGTGTCCACAGGCCAGTCTGGTGGAAACAGCTCCTTGTTATAGTCTAATTTGTGTCAAGTTGACAGAGACTAACCAGTACAACTTAATAGTAAACAAAAATGTAGAATGCTATAACATGACAGCATAATGCAGAATGTGTACTTTGTTCTTAAATCCTTCTTGAGACCGGGCAGTGGTCACACACACACACACACACACACACACACACACACACACACACACACACACACACCTTTAATCTCAGCACTTGATAGGCAGAGGCAGGTGGATCTCAGTGAGTTCAAGGCCGGCCTGGTCTATTAAGTGAGTTCCAGGACAGTCAGGACTGTTACACAGAGAAACCCTCACTTCTTGAGGACAGGAGTGTCACATCCAACAACAATTAGCTGTTCTCAGTTACAAATACTCCTGGGATGCCCATCTCCTTTCATGCGTATTATTTAATAGTTTGTATTTTTTAAAGATGACTTCATTGTAATTGTATTGTAATTATAATTATATAATTGGACCTGCATGTGTTGCTGGTGCCTGTGAAAGTCCGACAAGGTCATCAGATCCTCCAGAACTGGAGTTAGGGATAGTCGTGAATTGCCATACTGGTGCTGGAAACCAAACCCAGAACCTAATCCAGAGCTGCAGGTGCTTCCAACTGCTGAGCAGTTATCTTTTTGGTTTTTCAAGACAGGGTTTCTCTGTGTAGCTCTGGCTGTCCTAGAACCCACTCTGTAGACCAGGCTGGCCTTGAACTCACAGACATCTGCCTACCTCTGGTTCCCAGTACTGGAGTTAAAGGTGTATACCACTACTACCTGGCACTGAGCGGTTATCTTAAGGTAACCCATTAGAGCCTCATAGACATTAGACCATAAAAGTAGCTGGTCTTGCCAGGTATGGTGGCACACACCTTTAATTCCAGCATTCAGGAACCAGAGGCAAATAGCTATTTGTGAATTCTAAGCCAGCCTGGTCTACACAGCAAGTTTAACATCAGACAGTTATCTACCTAGTGAGGTACTATCACACAGAAAAATGGGAGGCAATCTGCTTATTAATCTTACTGTCTTTTCTAAGAATTGGTTAACTTTGAGGTTACTTTGTTAGCTAAATCAAATCACGGGATCTCAAAAAAATCTATTCAATGTTTTTCCAGCATTTTGTTTGTGCCAAATGTGAAAAGCCATTTCTTGGACATCGCCATTATGAGAGGAAGGGCTTGGCCTATTGTGAAACTCACTATAATCAGGTAATGATTATCCTTACTAGATATTTGATATGTATAAATCAAAACTCATCAATGTTTTGACTGTAGAGAAAGCACTTAGTCTACAGAGATGTGTTTTAAGTCTTTGAGTTACTTTCTACATAACATACCGACAATATCTATATTATTTATATATTATAAATAAATATTATATTATTATGGGAAAATATACCTTTTCCCATAATCTCCATTTGCTTCCTCTGGGCACATTTGATTTTACTATATAAAAATAGACCTTTGTACCAAACACATTTTTTTTTAAAGATTTATTTGTTATGTATACAATCTTCTGCCTGCATGTATGCTTGCAGGCCAGAAGAGGACTCCAGATCTCATTGCGAAGGGTTCTGAGCCACCATGTGGTTGCTGGGAATTGAACTGAGTACCTCTGGTAGAGCAGTCAGTGCTCTCAGCCACTGAACCCTCCAGCCCCTAAAACACATATCTTTATATACAGATATTTATGTACATTTAAATGTCTATAGTTTTGTTTTGGTTTTGGTTTCAGGTTTGTTTTTTTTTCTTTCTCATTTGCATTTGTCCAAATGTGCATCTATTCACCCTATGTGTGCAGTGCCTGTAGGGGATAGAAGAGGGCATTGAATCCTCTGGGACTGAAGTTATAGATTATTGTGAGCTGCTACATGAATGCTGGGAATTGAACTTGGGTCCTCTGGAAGACCAGCGAGTTCTCTTTTAACTACAGAGATGCTGCTGCAGCCCATAGCTAGGTCTATGAATAATATTTATATTAGTTCTTTGAGAATTTCATACAGTGTTTTGATCATTCACTCCCACCTCACTCTTAATTTCTCCCAGATTTACCCCACCATCCTACACCCTACATCTACTCTAGTTTATGCTCCCCCTTACATCTGGGTGTAGGGCTATCCACTGGCACATGGTAAACTTACAGGAGCTACACTTTTTTTCCCCTCTCTTTATTTTGATTTTTGTTGAGCTCTACATTTTTCTCTGCTCCCCTTCCTACCTCTCCCCTCCCCTTCAACCCTCTTCCAAGGTCCCCGTGTTCCCAATTTACTCAGGAGATCTTGTCTTTTTCTACTTCTCATGTAGATTAGATCTATGTAAGTCTCTCTTAGGGTCTTCATTGTTGTCTAGGTTCTCTGGGATTGTGGTTTGTAGGCTGGTTTTCTTTGCTTTATGTTTAAAAACCACCTATGAGTGAGTTCATGTGATAATTGTCTTTCTGGGTCTGGGTTACCTCACACAAAATGATGTTTTCTAGCTCCATCCATTTGCCTGCAAAATTCAAGATGTCGTTATTTTTTTCTGCTGTGTAGTACTCCATTGTGTAAATGTGCCACATTTTCCTTATCCATTCTTCGATCGAGGGGCATTTAGGTTGTTTTCAGGTTCTGGCTATGACAAACAATGTGCTATGAACATAATTGAGCACATGTCCTTGTGGCACGATTGAGCATCCTTTGGATATATACCCAAAAGTGATATTACTGGGTCTTGAGGAAGGTTGTTTCCTAATTTTCTGAGAAATCGCCACACTGACATCCAAAGGGACTGTACCAGCTTGCACTCCCACCAGCAACTCAGGAGTGTTCCCTTTTCCCCACAACCTCTCCAGCATAAGTTGTCATCAGTGTTTTTGATCTTGGTCGTTCTTACAGGTGTAAGATGGAATCTCAGAGTTGTTTTGATTTGCATTTCTCTGATGACTAAGGATGTTGAACATTTCCTTAAGTGTCGTTCAGCCATTCTAGATTCCTCTGTTGAGAGTTTTCTGTTTAGGTCTGTACTCCATTTTTTTTTATTGGATTATTTGTTCTTTTGATGACCAATTTCTTGAGTTCTTTGTGTATTTTGGAGATCAGCCCTCTGTCTGATGTGGGGTTGGTGAAGACCTTTTCCCACTCTGTAGGCTGTCTGATCTTGTTGATCGTGTTTTTTTTTTTTTTTGCTTTACAGAAGCTTTTCAGTTTCAGGAGGTCTCATTTATTAATAGTTTTTCTCAGTGTCTGTGCTACTAGGGTTATATTTAGGAAGTGATCTCCTGTGCCAATGCGTTCAAGTGTACTTTCCACTTTCTCTTCTGTGAGGTTCGGTGTGGTTGGCTTTATGTTGAGGTCTTTGATCCATTTGGACTTGAGTTTTGTGTATGGTGATAGATATGGGTCTATTTTCATTCTTTTATATGTTTATGTCCAGTTATGTCAGCACCATTTGTTAAATAAGCTTTTTTTTTCCATTTGATATTTTTTGCTTCTTTGTCAAAAATAAGGTGTTTGAAGATGTGTGGGTTAATATCTGGGTCTTCAATTCAGTTCCATTGGTCCTCCTGTCTGTTTTTTATGCCCATACCAGGCTGTTTTCAGTTCTGTAGCTCTGTAGTAGAGTTTGAAGTCAGGAATTGTGATGCCTCCAGAAGTTCTTTTATTGTACAGGATTGTTTTAGCTATCCTGGGTTTTTTGCTTTTCCATTTGAAGTTGAATACCATTCTTTCAAGGTCTGTGAAGAATTTTGCTGGGATTTTGATGAGCATTGCATTGAGTCTGTAGATTGCTTTTGGTAAGATTGTTATTTTTTCCTATGTTTATTCTGCCTACCCAAGAGCATGGGAGATCTTTCCACTTTCTGGTGTCTTCTTCAATTTCTTTTTTCAAAGATTTAAAGTTCTTGTCATACAAGTCTTCCACTTGTTTGGTTAGAGTTACTCTGAGATATTTTGTGCTATTTGTGGCTATTGTGAAGGGTAATGTTTCTCTGATTTCTGTCTCAGCCCACTTATCATCTGTGTACAGGAGGGCTACTGATTTTTTTTTTTTTGAGTTAATCTTGTATCCTGCTACAATAGTTAAAGTGTTTATGAGTTGTAGAAATTCCTTGGTACAATTTTTGGGGTCACTTATGTAAACTATCATTAGCAAATAGAGTTTGACTTCTTTTCTGATTTGTATCCCCTTGATTTCCTTTTCTTGTCTTATTGCTCTAGCTAGGACCTCAAGAACTATATTGAATAGGTATGGAGAGAGTGGACAACCTTATCCTGTTCCTGATTTCAGTGGGATTGCTGGGAGTTTCTCTCCATTTAGTTTGATATTGACTGTTGGCTTGCTGTATATTGCATTTATTATGTTTAGGTATGTTCCTTGTATCCCTGAGGAGCTACACTCTAAAGGAAGGTTGACTCTCCTTCCTCCAGAAGCCATCAACTGTCTTAGCTCCTCAGTTAGAGGTCAGGTAAAGTAGCAATCTACAAAAGTTTTTGGATCAAGAAATGAGGCATTGGTGCTGCCTTTTCATCCACCATTAAAGGATGGAGAAAGTTCTGGACCAGGTCACTGAGTCATGGCATCAGGAAGCCTTCCACATCCGAGAGAGAGAGAGAGAGAGAGAGAGAGAGAGAGAGAGAGAGAGAGAG